GGGAAAGTTGTCACACTCCCTTTCAAAAGACTTAAGTTGCAGCGCTAAGAAATACTACTAAAATGGTCTCATTTGTATTTTAGGAGCTGCTTTAAATGGAGGTATTTTGACTTTTGGGAGGTTTTGAGAAGGGTTTTTATACAAGCAATTTGGATGAATGCATTCACTTTTTATCAAAATTTTCGTGGGCAAATTGTCTGTAAAATGTCACCCAGTTATAGCCATAATAGCAAATGTGCTATTAACTGCCCAGTAGTATACTCATACTTTTGTTTAACAACCCCAACTCTAGCAGGATTTCAACTGCTCTGTCAGTTCAATAAAAAGTCTGTAGCGAAGACAGGATGTTAAAATGTTTTTCATGGTTAAATTCTAGGGCTGGCTTAGTTTCTGAATTCTTAGGTAGATGCAGTGCTTCTAGACAATGTTTTTTTGGAGCTGAAGACTAAGAAATATTTACAGTTAGGTAAGTGTAGTCAAGTAACTCGGGCATCAGTTGAAATATCCTGGACAGTTATGCTTCCGCTGGGATTTTAGACCTGATTACATCAAATATCTTACGTACTTGCATTAATGTTAAGGGAAAACGCCCAAAAGAGGTCATTCTGTGCAGACATTTTGGCAGAAGTGAAAAGGCCATCTGGCATAGCTTCTTTGTCCTTTATTTTTTCCCTTCGTCTTTTTTAGTACATGTATAGGATCTCTATTCCTGTAGTAAGCAGCTGAATGCCTCTTAATGGGCGATGTGCTTATTCTTGCAGGTTCCTGCACCTGAGGCAGAGCTGTGTTGTTGTCATCCCTGTTTCACAGATGGGGATCTGAGACGCAAAAGGGCCATGTGAGTTGACTCACCAGCCCAAATGGATTAGAGTTGGATGGTGAACACAGTTTCCACCTTCCACTGCTCTGCCCTGCCCCTTTCTTGGGGGTTGCCGCCCTTGCGACAGGGATGTGTGAGCCACATGAGAAGCAGCATGTGAATTGCTGTGGTTTGTAGCTCAGAATGGCAAAGTAAACCAGCGTTGATCGGGAGTTACCTCATTACACCAGCAGCCGTTTGGGAGCTTTTTCATATTCAGTTCAGCTGTGTCTACTGTGAGAACAAACTCCTGAAGGAGCTTGTAGGAGATTTTTTTGCAATTGTTAGCCACATCTGACTCGACTCCGCTTGTGTTTGTGAGTCAATTCACAACATGATTTTCCTGTTGGCAAATGCCAGGATTTTCCTGGCAGTATGTAGGAAAATTATGGCAAAGCAGTTGTTGTGGTTTAACCCCAGCCAGCAACGAAGCACCACACAGCCAGGGAGGGGGGTGAGAATTGGAAGGGTAAAAGTGAGAAAACTTGTGAGTTGAAATAAAGACAGTTTCATAATTGAAACAAAATAATAATAATAAATTGTAAGGAAAAGGAAAATAACAAAGAGAGAGAAATAAAACCCAAGAAAGACAAGTGATGCAACTGAAAACGATTGCTCACCATCAACTGACAGATGCCCAGCCAGTCCCCGAGCAGCAGCCCCCCCCCGCCAGCCTCCCCCCTAGTTTTATTGCTGAGCATGAAGCCATATGGTATGGAATATCCCTTTGGTCAGTTGGGGTCAGCTGTCCCAGCTGTGTCCCCTCCCAGCTTCTTGTGCACCCCCAGCCTACTTGCTGGTGGGGTAGGGTGGTGTGAGAAGCAGAAAAGGCCTTGACTCTGTGTAAGCACTGCTCAGCAGCAACGAAACTGTATTATCAACACAGTTTCCAGCACAAATCCAAAACACAGCCCCACACCAGCTACTATGAAGAAAATCAACTCTATCCCAGCCAAAACCAGCACAGCAGTAATGGACTCCAGGTCTCTGAAGACCTAAGGCAGTCTCCACCACTGACTTTTTCCTTTCTTCCCCTCTTTTTTCAGGCCTTTCACCCCAAGGCCTCTTCTTCCACACTCATTTTGGTTTTGTGGGTTTCATCCACAAAGGCGTTTGCCCAGCTTCCACCCAAGCAGCAGGTAGCAAAGCTCACACATCTGGTGCAGAAGAAAAGAGATTCAGTTTGCACCAGTTTTGTCTGTTGACATTGTGGTTTTTCTTGCTGTAAAAGAGGTTTATCTTCCTCAACTCATGTGGCTGGTCTCACCTGAAATGGGCCAGATCCTGACTGCCACCGAGTTTCTGCATTACAAGCTTTACCTGATTAGTTTTTCTTCCTCAGTAAATGGGTGTTTTTAGACATAGAGTCCAGCTAAAAGAGAGTTAAAATAACAAATTAAATTGAGTTGACAATTAAAATGTTTCCTTAATTGGATAGTTAAATGTAAGCTACCAGCTGTTGGCCTTGATGATACCCATGTGTCACGATATAAAGAGAGCTTTGAGAGGTGCTGTACCACACGTGGGCCTGCAGCAATTTGTCTTTGCAAAAGCGTTTCCAAACTGCTAGTATCTTCATCATCCTTGGCTGGATTTCTGGAGCCTGGTACACTGGAAGATTTCTACCTGTGGGCATGAGCTCTGCTGTAAGACACGCTGCTTAGCAGGATTTTGCTCTGCTAAACCTAAAAATCCGGCTGTGAATTGCCAAAGATTGAGGAAGTCGGTGGTGGAGGACAAAGGCAGGCCTTGGAAATGTTCTCCAAGAGTGTAGCTCTGCCAAACCGTGCAGAAACAGTCAGGGAATTTCTCTTGTTTAGCAGGACCTGTCAGCTGCAGCTCCTCTCCTTGAGGTTAGGAGATCAGAAGGGCCCAAATCTGCCTGCAGCTTGTCCACAGGATGCTTCAGACCTCCTGGGATTTACAGGTCTGAAAAAGGCGTAGTGGAGAATGAGCCTTACTTTGCAGGGAAACCCAATTTTCTTGACCTTCCAAAAGTATCATTCTTCATCGCACATCCTCGGTTATATCCAATTACACCATCTGTCCCAGACAAGGCTTGGGCGGCTCATCTGTACTGGAAAACTGAGGGTCCGGGCAGATTCAGGGCTGTGATCTGCCCACAAGAGAGCACCTCTCCCTGCTGACCTTTCCACTTGCCTTCTGTGTCTTGCCTGCCCTCAAGTTGCTACTGTTCTTTGGAGGCTGCTGGTTTAGCTGTTCATCTGTGCGCTCACTAACCCAGCTGTGGAAGCAGACCAGAAAAAAACAGGAAAACAAAACCTCCCAGAACTAATTTCTGATGACCAATAAGGCACGTATTTTAAATTATTAGAGCAATTAGCCAGCAAGACAAAAGATCAATAGAGACCTCATCTCTTCAATCTTCCAGGAGACAAACGCTGCTGGGAGAAGTGTCTTTCCTCAGCCCCAAGCAAATTACAGGAGTGAATGGACTGAGTTCTGACTGCTGAGTTCAGTACACAAGGTTGGACAAGATGATTTAATGATCTCTGGCCTTAAAATTCTGAACCTAAGTTTAAAAAGTATTTCAGAGGGAAGCAACAGCACAGTGTAGATTAGATGTTCATCTGGCAACTAACCAGTCCAAAAGGAAAAGCTTTTACATTTTGTTCTGTCCAGCACTCAGTCTTCTCCAAGAATTACTCCCAAGATTCAAGCTGGTGCAAATCCAGGACAGCTTTCTCTAATGTGGGTCTAACTGCAGAGTCATGGGAATGGTATGAATTTGGCAAGTCTTTTTTATAGGCAAAGGCTATTTCAAAAAGATACTGAACACGCACAATGTTTGCGCTGGTGAAAGGAGGTGGAAATAGGGTATTTTGCTACCCACACACTTTTTTGGGGCACTTTTGCACACTTGCCCCCAGGGCAGTGTAAGCTGAGATAGTAAATCCCTGTGTGGTCAAGGGTTAGATGCAGAAACCTCTGGAGATGATTCAGAACATGAGGTACTTATTAAGGTCATATGAGTTGCCTTTTAAGGTTTCCTGCCTCTCTCCATTGACTGTCTGAGGAGCTTGTGCTCCTGCTTAGACTTCTGAGTTACAAGCCAAACTAAGTTAGCATGAATACTCTTCTTGCTCTCCTCCCCTGATGGCATTTAACCGTGCCACAAAACCCCTGCAGAACCAGGCGGACTGAGCAGATCCTCTGGCCTCCACAGTTGCTTTCTGTTGGGCGAGTCATGAGGAAACACAGGGGGATTCGTGGTGAGCTTTGCTGTGCTGTGCCACCATTGTGCATCTAATTTTCCGCAGCAGTGTGGCGCGTGGAGAGGAGAGGTGGTGGGACAGGGGAAGCACGTGTCTTGTGCTGTCTCTCTGAGATCTGGATTTCACCGTGTGGTTTTGCTCTTACCCTGCAGGTCGAGGTGCCATGGCAGAAGTGTGGACCATTGTGGAGAGCGTGAAAAGGATCCTTGAAGAACGGGACTTGCCAAGGCAGAGCTGATGATTTGGCGTGGAAATTGTATTTGTGTGCCTCCCTGATGATTTGAAGATAAAACCAACAGGAAGCTGAGTCGAGATGGCATGCATGCCTATAGCGTGCCCTTCAACCGAAGGAGTGAAACGGTTGACTTCCAGCTGGTGCCAAACTGAAATGTGGTACAACACTGCAGACTTTCGGAAACCAAAGCCAAGAACATGCTGCTTTAGTGTGGGAAAACTCTGTGGTATCTCGCAGAGACAGATAGATCCCCTACCCTAGTTCCACTGGGCCCCTCGGCCCCCAGTATTTCACATGTGCTCCTTTCTGAGGAGGCTGCAGAAGGAATTGCCAATGTATTTCAGGTCCAGTGGTTCCCTCGAGACCTGCTAGAGAGGAAAGTGCTGTGCAAGTCCTGGTGATGGGGACAATGCCAGCCCCTTCCAGCCTGTCGGTGTGGGGACATCCCTGCTCTCCAACGCCTGGTCCGTAGCTGTGTTGGCTTCACCTTTCCAGCAGGAGACACTGTCCAAAAAGCATTTCCCCTCTGGGAACTTAATAAAAGAGAGCTTTTAATTCTGCCCCTGAAGAATTGCCTCTTGTAGCTGCTGTGGGGGGTGTTTGCACCTCACGTCATTGCTAAATCGTTGTGTCTGCATGTGGTTTTTATCTGAGATGGGAAAAAAATTGACTGAAAGAAGCTATCTAGTCCCCGAATTAGCCTTTGCCCTTTTGTATCTGTTGACTGGATAGGGATGCAGACGTCAACCGTGAACCAAAATGACACCTGCCCATCTGGGTGCTCCAGTCAGGAAATGAACAGGCTGGGCCCTTGTGGAAAGCCAGGGTGGGTGTTTCCCAAGGGAGTGAAGTCAAACTTTGCCTATGACGATCCTTTTCGGCTTGAAAATTAACCAACTGGCATCAAAAAATTGGGAAATCCTGTGATCCCGTGGGCCAGACCAGCCAGGGCTCCCCTGGTCCAGCCTTTCCTGGGAAATGTGATCCCGCTCCTGAGGGGAATGGGAGAAAACTGGGACTGTTGAACATGTCGCTGTAGCAGAGCACTGCTGACCCAGAGAGTTTATTTTTAACTAGACCCAGTCAAATTTAAGGCCTTCGGTACAGAATGTGCATCCTGCCTATGGGGGCAACCTTCAGACTGCTGCGCAGGAGGGAAGAGGTTATCGGGGTATGTTTGCTTTCCTTATCTATTCCACACAAATAAAAACCTCTGAACTTTCCCATTTTTGGCTCTTCCACCGATAGAGATCCGGGGATTCAGAGCTTCTGGGGATCAAGTCAGAAGGATCCTTGTGTGAGCAGAGCTTGTGGCTCACACGAAGGGCTGTAGTGGTGCCGTGGTCATGAACTTTGCATTTTGCCAGTGAAGTCTTTGTGGTGTGACCTGCATCGTTTGCTCACGTTCTTAGCGCGGTGAAAGCTATCCACCTCTCAGAGGATCTTACTTTAAGCTTATCGAAGGCAGTAGAAGAGATGCTTCTCTGTTTCCATCAGTTTTGTAGTGAACATTGTTTCTCCTAATTACAGAGAAATACGGGTTCTGGCAGTTGCAACTGTAACTTGGCCTTGGGGCTCTGCTCTGGCTCTGCCGTGGATATCTCGTGTGGTTGGAGTTGCTTATCCTTCCTCCTAGTCTGTGACTTGGCAATGCAGAAAATCCGACAGTAAGGTTCCTCATACCAGGTCAAACCACCGTGTCCTTCTTAAGAGTGTTCATCTGGTACGAGTCTGGTTTGCTGGCTCAAGCTGCTCCAGAAACGTTGGCAGGTATCGTCTGGCTTCTCCTGGCGCTGGAGAGCGGGCAAGAAGGTGTACAGCGTACGCTGCAGGGCGCGAGCTCTGGTGATTCAGCAGAAAGGGGGTAACGTGGCGTTTTTAGATCCAGAACTTACGCCGGGTCGCTTGATGGCACAGGGAGCTGACACCAGTCTTAGTAAGGCAGAAAGAAACTGCTAAGACTATGGAGTTGCCTCTCAGGCTTGTTGAGAGGCTTAAATTAAGGCTTGCAAAGAACTTACAGATGCCTGAATAAAGGGAGCTAATTCTTTCTCCTGCAAATATATAGGGCAGCAATAGAAATGTATAGGTGAGCAGAGCCTGAGGGAATGAGGGGAGCACTTCATAGTGGCAGAGAAAACTCCTCTGCAGAGGACACCACGCCGGGTCTGTCTCACCTCTGCTGCAGAAACAGATACTAATTGTGCCGCTAAATGATCCTCTGCATAAGTGCTGTGATTTCTAATTGGAGGCAGGTCGTGATAGCATTACAGGTTGGGATAAACCGTGCCCAAACCGCCTTTCCTTCAGGGCAAATAGAAGAAACAGTTACGTTCCTTTTCGGAGGCAGAGGGCTGCAGCAAGAGCAGCTTCCACCCCCAGCACAGGCACGCGTCCCCACCCACGGCGAGGTGGGTGCCGGCAGCCCGCGGGCAGGAACGCTTTGCTGGCTGCTTGCTGTGGAAAAGCGGCAGAACGAGAAGCCGGAGGAAGCCCTGTCCGCCGTCGCACGAGTCGTTGGGCTTTAGGAGGGGACTTTGGGACAATGCCTTTCTAGGGTGAGGCTTGGGGCGATGAGCGAAGGACCTGATTCAAACCCAGGGCTTTGTGCAGGCTCGGTAAATGGGCACTGCCAGCCTCGCCGCCGCCGAGCCAGGACGGCCGGGCTCCGCTTAGCCACCCAGGTCACCTAGAGGTGTCGAGTGTGAATTCCTCGAGGCAGGCAGATGGACATCTCCGTCCCTTGCAGTTTTGTGCGTGTTTCAAGTTCGCAGCGGAGGCCTGAGAGCTGCGTGCGTGCTTTTTCTTTTCCTTCAGCTCATCTTTTTAAGCCGCACACTGATTTTTTGTTTCGCTTTTCTGTGAAACTCGCTGATGACCGAGGCAGCATCCCTGTGAAACCTGCTGCGTTGCAATTTCATTCATGCTGCTTGGAAACTGTTTCTCTCAGCACTGGCTTGGGAGCGATAAACAGCTGGGACAAAAGCTCAGCTAAGGCAGCAGCCCTCCTCCTTTCCTGCGCTTAGACCCAGCCTCGCCTGGGCTCGGACGGGACTCTCAGCATCCATTTCTCCGGCTGCTTCCCCCCATCCCAGACCTGATGTGATCCCTTTGCTGCTTGGCTCTGCGGGGCACTGGAGGAGGATGGAGATGCCGCGGTGCTGCTTTGCATCCGGGTGGTCTGGCTCCGAGCGCGGTGCTTTGGTCAGGAGTTGGCTCCCCAGATGGCAAGTCGCTTGGGGTGGGAGGTGCACCATCCCACGTGCCTGTCCCATCCCACGCCTTTGGCCTGGGAGCCTGCAGCAAGAGAAAAGGCAGACGAACAGATTGCAGAAAAAACTCAAATAAA